TTGACAAAATGTTCCTTACTCTGTTAAATCTATCTAATCTACATCTTTCATGCGAGTTAGTTCACTGTGGTGACCCCTGACGATGGGAGCAACCAAAAGCCAAAAAATAAATAAATAAAACTGATAAATCTACAGCTGTTGAGCTTAACTTTGGTGTGGTGTTAGCTAAAAATCATCTCTAACATGTATTTAGAGGCTAACAGGTTATTCAAGATGGTACAATATCTCACAAGATTAGGCCTGATGTTATTTTCAAGGCTTGACCAAAATGGCTATAATTCTGCTATTTCTCCAGTTCTTCCATCCATCCATCATTGTTACCCACTTCTTCCTTTTCAGATCAATGGGGTCACTGGTGCCCATATCCAGCAGTTACTGTGTGAGAGGTGAGGGATGCCCTGGACAGGTCTTCAGTCCATCACAGGGACACATAGAGACAAACAACCATTCACTCTCTCACTCACACCTGGAGACAATTTAGAGTTACCAATCAGCCTAACATGCATGTTTTTGGTCTGTGGGAGGAAACCCACACATGCATGAAGAGAACATGCAAACTCCACCCAGAAAGGTCCCTGGCTGGGATTTGACACAGCGACCTTCTCACTGAGAGGCAACAGCTCTACCAACTGAGCCAGCGTGCTGCCCCCTGCCATTCCTCAACACAAGAAGTTCTGAGGTTAAAGCTCTGGCATGAAAAGTGATGGGCTGTAAGGATTTCTTCAGTCTTGGTTGGCCCACGTCTTTATTGTAATTGAGAATGAGTTCTCAATCGACTAACCTGGACAAATAAAGGTTAAATAAATCAATAATAAAACATGACATTCTTGTAGGACACTGTTTAGCAGATCCAATGAGATTAATATATTGGTACAAAGTCCTGATACCTTAGAGCCTCTCTGTAGCGAAGGTGTTTTTTCTGTTTCTGGGAGCTTAGTCTGTTCAAAATAAGTATAAAGAAACCATTGTACTGTATTTGGCATTTGTTCATTTTTATGTATTTTATTAAACTTGTCTTGAAGAATCTGGTTTACATACCAAACCAGGATGTGTATCATTACACCCTTCATATTTAGTGACTTGTAATTTTTTAATCCCTCATCTTTTACCTCTCATGTCCATCTCAACTTTCTTTAGTATTTTGCTTTTCAGAATGTAGAGAATCCGATCTCTTAGTTGAAAACATATTTCATTTTTTGAACCATTGACCTTCTTTTAATTACAGACCATGCACTGAGGACACTTAAAAGCCAGACAGGGGGGAGGGATAAGAGGATTAGCTGATCTGTGGCTCAAACAGTAGCGTACTGTGAAGTCACACTGGCGCACATTAGTACGAGTGTTCGTGCGCCTTCTTAAGTGTGCATGTGTGTGAATCCTTGACATAACTCCTGATGCACTTTGCCAAAGATTTCACGCAAATTAAAGCTGAGCGGGTTGGACGGGGTACAAACAGCTCGCCAAGATAAGCCGTGGGGCTTAGATGAAGTGAAAAACATCAACAACCAAAAAAACAATGTGTATCACTCTTTTCCTCTAGACTTCTTACCTGTCTGCACTCCTTTCTGACCTACATCTCTTTTTCATTCCCTTCTACTATCCCTCAAGCAACTCCTATTCCCATAGCTATCCCCACTTCTCTTAATCCTCCTCCCTTTCCTGCAATAATTCCCCGTCTTTTTTTCCCTCCCCTGCTCCGTTTTTCTGTCAAGTCCCCGTTTCTCTTTGACAGACGCTGCTGTCTTCTTTCCTCCTCCTTCTTCTTCTTCACTTCCTGCCTTTCCATACCTCCTCCACCCCTCTTGTTTATCTCACTCCTGTGCTTCCTGCTCTTCCTCCCTTCATCCGTCTCTCCCTCCTGTTCCCTAAATCAACGCTACTAGCCTGCAGTAGCACATGTTTTAGTCATGCTCGCACCAAGACGGGGGCATGCACAGTACGATGATTACGTCAAGACACAAACAGGAGAAACAGAAAATAAAAAAACAGATTGTTGAAAGCTGCCACTCAGTCAGCACCAGTGTTATTTGTCAGACTTAGTGACATTTTGGCAGGAGAAAGTCACACAAATGATAAAGGTACAATTATGAAGAGGGAAAATGTATGAGGCATCAGGTAGCCAAACAAAACTGACAGATTAAACAAACAAACAGGGTAAATTAAGATTAAATAAAACTAGGTTTACTTAAAAGACTTCACCGCCTGGAGACTTGCATCATATCAACGTTACTGCTCTGAAGCTATACCCAGAAATGTTGCTCAAAACATGGAAAAGTGACAGATTTGTGCCCAAATTTGTGTTTTCTAAGGTCAAGAAGTTATGACGTCCATCTTTAATCAAGTTCACCCCCATATTTATTTTGCTGTAAATGTACACTTTATGACTACATTCTGACTCTGATAGTAAACTGCAATGTTTCAGGAGTAGATGACACAATCCAGTAGTGCTCAGAGTACAAGTAAAGGATGATTCTCAGCTATGGGCACACCAAAGTCGAGCTCAATAACTCTAAAGTTGACTGGGTTCAAGCGTTTACCAATTTTGAAAAGCTGTGGTGGCCATCTTGAAACAGCTTGACTCCAAACGTTATTCAGCTGTAGATGTTCACCATTAATCCCTGCAGGGGTTCATGAAACATTCTGCTAACAAACAAGTCGGATTCTTAAAATTGACATAGTTATAGTTGTGGGGTTTTTGTTAGCTAAGGTTGACAAGCTGTTGTAAACACCTTTAACTGGTTGACTTCAAAAGTGAACCAGCCATGGGTGTGCATGCAGTGATTATTTTCTGAGAGTTTCACTATAATGTGTCCAGTGGTCCGTGAAATATTTTCTTAATAGTTGGACACTTCAAATTACTATTACCACCTGCCTTTCATGACGGCAGACAATAAAGATCAGAAATGGAAAGCGCTTGAAGGACAAAGGGGAAATCTGCAACTAAAACATCATCAAGGCACAAAAACCCCACAGACCATGACAGTAACACCCACCCCCCCACTGACACACACGCACCTCACCACCACACCCTTCAAGGGACACCCCCTGCATACAACAAGAAACTAAATAAAAAAAAATCCATCCTTAGCCAGGCAGGTGGAGGGTGTCTGATTTGGTTGATGATTTTCAACTAACGTTAACACACAGGAAGAAAATTAACAGTATCAGTGATAAGATAATGAGTGTGTGTGTGTGTGTGTGTGTGTGTGTGTGCGTGCGTGCGTGCGTGTGTGACTGGGAGAGTTGGCAAAAATTAGCAATGCTCAGTTCTGCACAAAGGTATGATGAGGGGAAGCAGGAGAGAAAAAGAGAGAGGAGGGACTTGTTGGAGGGAGTGGGGGAAGAGAGAGAGAGAGAGAGAGAGGAAGTGATTGCCAGAGATATTGTCAGCTGGTCCTGGAACAGAGCAGCAGAAGCAGCAGAAGCAGCAGCAGCGGACGGGACACAGACGCTCTGAGCAGACTGAGGATATTAAGGGAGTACACGATGCTGAGGAGGCAACAACAAAGAGAGAGGATGGAATTAAAGAAAGCCATTTGATTGCTTCTCCTTCACACTTCTGTCCGGAGCACTCCACAAGCAGAGCACCAGTGAAAACACATACATATGATATATATATAAAACTCCTATACATATATATCAAATTATGCCTGTTTTCAAAGAAGCTGCAAGCGGACAACGACTGAATTTACAGCAAAAAGCGTCCCAATTTGCGGGAGAATATGTAGCATTTACTTAAAGGCTGCTGCATATTATCACTTTGATATTTTTGTTTTTCCAATTTTTTTATTCTTAGTTTTTTTTTTTTAAGAGGCAAATGGAAAAGAAATATGAAACTGGCAACTGAGTAGTTGATCCAACATTTGGGTTTGATTCCAAATAAGCTTCTGTTGAAAACAGGATGTTGATATTTTTTTGATCTGCCACGCTGCTGTTCGGCTGTCGCATCTCCACTTGTCTCTGTCGTCCGTGTGGGTCGGGCTCTGTATAATTCCAGAGAGGCTCTGCTTAAAGTGCAGAGGGCAGTTCACTGCCTCCCCCTGACCCCCCCATGCTGACAGCATCCTCAGCAATGGGGGAAAAGTACTGGGTCTGAAAGCAAAGGGAGTGAGGTAAATTGGTGGATGAGACAGGAGGCAGAAACATCAAAGAAAGGATGGAGGGAGATTAGGATTACAGCATGGAATGAAAATAAAAAGTGAGGCGTAAACAAATCAAGGAAGGGAAAGCAGCAACGTCAAAGAACGCTGTCACCCTCCTTTACAACTGAGACAGGAAGATTTAGCACCAAAACACCCCTCTTTTCATCCTCGTATTGCGGGGCAGATCTGAGCCTGCTGATCGGAAAAGTAGTATCCCAGGTCTGCCAGAGACCCTTGGCTCCACGAAGAGGAGGGGTTTCAGGACAGCAACAGGAGCTCTGCGCATGCAGAGCATCAAAACACGCTGGACTCCTGTGTGTGGTGCTTAAAAGCTACTCACAGGGTTCTGTCATCAGGGGACTGAGCTGTTTGTGAAGGTGTGTGTTTGAGAGGAAGTGTGTGCAGGAGTGAGAGTGAGTGTGGAAACAAGCCCCAAAGGGACACTTTTGGACTAATTACCTCGAGATTTTAGCTGGAAGATAATTAACAGCTGCTGTTGTACCTGTTGGGTCTTCACAAAGACAGCAGGGGTGCACCCAAAGACAAGGAGGAAGATTTTTCAAAGTGGACTTCAGTGAGAAGATGCCCACTGCAAAAATAATAAAAGCTTTTTTTGGGACAATGACACTGAGAGGAACAGGATAATAGCTAATATCAGAGGACGATACATCTGGACATCAGAACCTTTTTGACGCCAGTGTTATATTATCCCCTCAGGAATATCAGTCTATCTTTGGAATAATAATAAAAAACTCCATGTGGAGCTAAATGCAAGTTTGAGAAGGATTTGCTTTGCCCATTAGCGCCATCAGGAACCCACAGTTCTCACTTTTCACGGATTATTCATCTGCTCGGTGGGAGAGCTCATTGCTGGAAATGCTGGGGGCGAGTTCATTCATAGGTAATACGCCCTCCTGAATTGGATCTTCACCCTCCAAGATTTGGATTTGTGTACAACCGCCTCTGCTGTCTGCTGATGCCATATGGTTTTGTGAAAGGTGAAATTAGCTAATTTTTTCAAATCTGCGTTGATACACAAACACCTACTTGCAATCCACTGATGACAGGTTGAAATGTGGGGCTCATTTTCTTCTGTTTTTCCTTTTATGATTTGTCCTGCTTCTTGTTGATGGTATTTTATTAATCTCTAACTGTGCAAATCAAATCCTGAGACTTGTTGAGACTCATTCCAACCCATAGTCTGGGCACAAACAGATCGAGCGAGATTAATGTATAAAAGTTTATCAAGCAAGACAGATAACGACAGGCATTCCTTCAAGGAATGGTAGTTTAATTTTAACGATGTTTTTATTTTAATAATTGTACTTTTTAGCTTGTATGACCCAAAAATGTTTGGATTTGAATAATTTTGCTGAACTTTTAAGTTTAGATCTTGTTGAGGGTAGAGGTGCTTTGTAACACCTGTCCAAGGACAGCAAATGCAAACAAACCTTATGGCTAATTTTGATACAATTGCAATATTGTTTAATTATGTGCAATGCCCTCTTTTAAAATAAATACAACAAAACATTTCCGATCTCCCCAAATATATTTAAACCTGTTTCTTGTTGTTTCAGGACCTTTTTGCTTTTCATATTAACTCGTCAGTGTTAAGACACTGCAAGAAACTGCAACCCAAGATGGCCACTTCCATGTTTTCAGTATTGCTAAACTTTTCATTGGCCATTTTATTGGGTTTGACCTCCCTGAGTGGACTGAATTCATGGCCTTCAGGTCAAGCTTTGGCGCAGGCATCTTCCAACAACCAGACAACTGAATCATCTGTGCTTCCAGAGGTAGCAATGGCAACGCCAACACCAGACCCAGAGGTCCAAACAGATCCAACTGCTGGGAACCGTTGCTGGGGTTACTATGACGTAATGGGTCAGTGGGACCCACCATTTAACTGTAACGCAGGTATCTACATGTTCTGCTGCGGCTCCTGCTTCTATCGTTTCTGCTGCCAGTTCAAAGTCCACAGTTTGGACCAGACCTCCTGCTCAAACTATGACACTCCCGTATGGGCTAATACTGGGAAGCCGGGGGCACCCGTCACTGAGGGCCATCAGGAACCAGATCGAGATCGGACCCATATGATTGTGTATATAATCTGTGGGGTGGTGGCCATCATGGTGCTGGTTGGAATTTTTACTAAACTCGCTCTGGAGAAGAGTCAAGGAGGACAAACGGATATGACCAACTCCAGGTAGGAGCTGATGTATGTTTGTATGGATGGATGCATGGATGGATGCATGGATGGATGCATGGATGGATGGACGGAAGGACGGATGGATAGATGAGACTGGAAGAGGAGCAATTTTAAAAAACTAGATCATAGCCATATTCATCAACTTATGACTGATAATATTTGCTCTGTAGATTTGGTTGGATAAATTGGTATTTAATTAAAAAAAAAAAAAATATTTAATCTATTTTTGTGTTCATCTTGGTTTTACACATTGTTAAATCTGGAAAAAAAAAGACAACACCCAGCAGTCAATTTGATTAGCTTAGCACAAAAGCTAGAAACACGGGGATAGAGCTTTTCTGGCTAATTTATTAGCTAGCCTAGCTATGGTTAGCCTATCTTTAAGCTAGGCTAACCATAGCTAGGCCATCTGCAAGCCAATTTATCTTAGCACGGCATGGACTGATGTGCAAGGAAGGGGCCTCTTCTTTTAGTCCTTTTTAAAGAACTGTTACTTTCACGCGTGTTTTTATCAGTTTCAAACTGTCATAGCAGACTAGCATGCAAGAAAAATGTTAGAATAACTGGAATGATTTACAGAGATGTTCAGTCCTTTCACTTGCATTACTAAAATGGACTCCAATAAATATGTAGAAAACCATTCTAGCCCAAAACAGTCATACAATTATGTCAAATTAAACTAGATAAACATCCCAAAACACCAGCAATCTAGACCAAACTTCAAGGCCAAAAAGCCGTCAATTAATTATTTTAAAGTGTTTTGGGGAAAGCTTATGATGAACAATAAACACTTTGCATAAAGTAGGTCTTTGAATGTCCTTAGTTTGGAGAAATAAAGTTTAATTCTGACCAGATTGACAGGCCAATGGCTAGTTCCAGTGGGGCTAAAAAGGCAAATCTCAGAATATGCACAGTGGTTTAATTAAACACTATTGTATACATTTATACATTATATGGTAATTCTGGCAGCGATATTAAGACACATGCTGCAGAAAGTGCTCAACGCTGCAAAGAAAGAGCTACTGCTAACTGAAGATGCTGCTGCTGTTGAAATATCCATAACATTTGGTGTGAATAACCATGTATTAGGAAAATTGATGTAAAGGTTTATAAAATAGGCTTCCCATAAATTGCAAATACGTTTTTAATATTGTTCCCACCTTAAAACAACTCCAATCGACTTTGGTTCTAGCTTGTCAGTTTGGTTAGAAATAAACAGTTTTTTTCCTAATTGAGTACTTAAAAAACTAACGACATTATGGTAAGATAAAAACTGATCAAAACATTTTCACAGAAACTCGTTTGATATCATTTGAACTATTTGTTTGGGCTTCACAAAGTGCTTCATTCCCCTACAGCTTCACAAGCTGACCACATAAATCCATTTCAACACATCACCAGCAGTAACATGACTGACTGGATCTGCATATTTCTGTAAATGTGTCAGGATATCACCGGCCAGCTAATCAATACAACGACCGGACAGACTGACTGTGAGGTGATAATTGTTGTGACGCTTGTTTGTAACCACGTGGGAGCAATGGATGTACGGTTTGAGAGGAAATGATGGAGGTCAGGAAGAGACGGCAGGAGCAGGAAGTGAAGAGAATTCAAAACAACAGAATGGGGGGAGGCATTCAGAGAAGAGTTGATGTTTGGTGGAAATCACAGGACACTGTTACCGTGTTTTCTCTACATCGGTGTTGCAGCTCCACATTGATGGCCGATCGATCGCTGTGACACAACTCTGACTGTGGCATGCGTGGCCTCCAGAGAACAATGAGAGGCGTGAGGGTGGGTTCTTTTTGGGGAAGGGTGGTATATTGAGCGATTCTGACTGGAAAGCAGCCAATAGCTCTCATACCAAACGCAGGAGTGCGTGTTTGTGTGTGAGAGAGAGAGCGTGAGAGAGATATGGTAGAGAGAAACTGGGGAAGCAGAGAGGGAGAGAAAGTGCATGTGGCGAGTGTGATAGCCAGCCAATAGGGTGTTAAGAGTTGACGCATGAGAGTGCCTTTAAAAAACCTGTCAATACCTGATCCTCTCTTAACGTCCCAGTGCAGAAAGATGAGGATGAAGATACGAGCAGACATTTAATGTTGAACTGCACTGAGTCATCAATAAAAGCTGGCATGTCTGGGCATGTTTTACTGCTTGAAGCAAACAAGGAGTTGTTTGAGAATTATATCTTTTTTAAAATCTGGATGCTTTGGAAGCATGTGCAGACTTTTAAAGATTAAAGAAGTGTTGATATTTGGCTTAAATTGATAGTTTGGCTCTTTTGAAGAGTTATGAACAGTTAATATCTTACCTGTTGCAGACAACTTTTTTAAAAATGATCTCAGTTTGGAGTTTAATTCTGACTGGACTGACAGCCAGTTTAAATGGACTAAACAACAACGAGAATTACTGCCATCCTAAAACAACTCCAATCTAAAAAAAATATTTTGAGTTATGCACTATTTTATCAAACTTTCCACCAGCATTAGTTTCACATTTTGTAAAATTTCAACAAAGTGTGTTTCTTTCTGGCGCTCTCTTCTGCAGGGTTGCCACAGTGAGCGAACTTGCATGAAAAATTTGTCAGTCATTTCAATTCAATTCAAAAATACTTTATTAATCCCAAAGGGAAATTAATTGTTGTTGTAGTTCATCTTGGTTTTATTAAGAGTTGTTCTTGATGCTGATGGCTTTGGGCAGGAAGGATCTCTTGTAGCGGTCCGTCCCACAGCAAATCCAAAGAAACTGGCTGCAGATGCTGATCCTTCCACCCAGACCCAGCAGACATCTTGGTCCTCTTAGGCAGCAGGACTGCCTGAATGCCAGGCAGAACTCCTCCCCGAGCCATGGCCATTTCTCCCAGCAGCCTGCCAAGCCTCTTGTCACCACAGACTTAATTGGAGGTGCTGGGGGACAATCTTGGTCCTCCCGCTGTCACGAGCCACGCTTTCCTGCTACCGCCAAGATCTCAGCGGTCAGGTACTCGAGCACAGCCTCCAGGTGGACAGTAATGTATCCACGACACCTCCTTTTCAACTCATTGTTTGACGCTGGGTGCCCTTGGTTCAAACCCGAAGACTTTGGATTACCAAACTGCAGCACTGACCACAGAGCTTCCTTGGACCCCAGATTATTTCAGATTATAGCACTTCTTTTCAGCTTGCACATATAGTTTTATTTCAACACAACTGCTACAAAACAGACCTCGATTGGTGTGTTGATGTCATTCTCAAATGAAAACCATGAGTCTTTTAAGACCTCCGCATATTGCCAATGCTGCCAGTTACTTAAGTTTTTTTTTATGTATTAGTACATTAATGCTGCCTGAATGTTTTTATTTTTCAGAATAACTCAGCTGTCGTTGTCTTCCTGTTTTCTGTTTACTCTGGTATTTAGGTTTTTGTGCTTTCATGACCAGTTTCTCCTCAGCTCTCCTGTTTGCTCTGACACACACCTGTCATCCATCAGTAATCTTTTCAGCTGCTCTCACTCATTAATTATCTCTCCCCAGTAAATCTTCATTTTACAGTAATTTGTCAGGCCGTTGTCACTTTTCCATGTGTTCAGAGTGGTGTTCTGTTATTGGTCTTCTGTGCTCGTCATGGATTGTCCATAACAAACACCATGTTCAAGCATAAGGGTATGTACTCTTGGCACCAGGACACCCAAGGCCGCAGTTCGATGATCGACTTTGTTGTTGTCTCATCTGATCTGCGGCCACATGTCTTGGACACTCAGGTGAAGAGAGGGGCGGAGCTGTCCACTGATCACTACCTGGTGGTGAGATGGCTCCGATGGTGGGGAAGGATGCCGGTCAGACCTGGCAGACCCAAACGTATTGTGAGGGTTTGCTGGGAATATCTGGCAGAGTCTCCTGTGAGACGGAGCTTTAACTCCCACCTCCGGGAGAACTTCGAACATGTTCCGGGGGAGGAAGGGGACATTGAGTCCAACTGAGCCATGTTCCGTGCCTCTATTGTCGAGGTGGCTTACCAGAGCTGCGGCCGCAAGGTTGTCAGTGCCTGTCGTGGTGGCAACCCTTGAACCCGGTGGTGGACACCGGCGGTGAGGGATGCTGTCAGGCTAAAGAAGGAGTCCTATCGGGCCTTTTTGGCCTGTGGGACCCTGGAAGCAGCTGATGGGTACCGGCAGTCCAAGCGACATGTGACTCGGGTGGTCACTGAGGCAAAAACTCGGGCATGGGAGGAGTTCGGAGAGGCCATGGAGAAAGACTTCCGCATGGCTTCGAGGCGATTCTGGTCCACCATCCAGCGTCTCAGGGTGTGAAAACAATACACCACTAACACTGTTTATAATGGAGGTGGTGTGCTGCTAACCTCAACTCGGGATGTTGTGGGTTGGTGGGCGGAATACTTTGAAGACCTCCTCAATCCCACCGACATGTCTTCCACTGAGGAAGCGGAGCCTGGGGACTCTGGGTTGGACCATCCAATTTCTGGTGCTGAGGTCACAGAGGTGGTTAAAAAGCTCCTCGGTGGCAGGGCCCCAGGGGTGGATGAGATTCGCCTGGAGTTCCTTAAGGCTCTGGATGTTGTAGGGTTGTGTTGGCTTATGTATGTGAATGTTCCTGTAAAGTGCCCTGAGACAACTTTGTTGTGATTTGGCGCCATGTAAATAAACTGAATTGAATTTAATTGAATTACGCGACTCTGCAATATTGCGTGGACATCGGGGGAAGTTCCCCTGGATTGGCAGACCGGGGTGGTGGTCCCCCATTCAAAAAGGGGGACCGTGGAGTGTATTTCCAACTACTGGGCATCACACTCTTAAGCGTCCCTGGTAAGGTCTATTCGGGGGTTCTGGAGAGGAGGGTCCATCAGATAGTCGAACCTCAGATTCAGGAGGCGCAGTGTGGTTTTCGTCCTGGTCGTGGAACACTGGACCAGCTCTACACTCTCAGCAGGGTCCTGGAGGGTGTGTAGGAGTTTGCCCAACCAGTCTACATGTGCTTTGTGGACTTGGAGAAGGCGTTCGAC